CCGTATACTTTACTTTTGCTTACAAAAAATTTTAATTTTATTTATAACTTTTTTATAAGTTTCAAGCCCATATAATTTATTTTCTTGTCATTGTTTTCCGTAGTCCTGACATTCTGTAGTTCATTTGAGAATCAGTTGAACCTGTAGAATCTATTAGGGATTGAAATCATGCAATACTTGATACATTTGTTTTCTCATTTTTATTGCTGCCTGAAAATAAAAATGTTTTTTTTACCTTATTAGGGGTTTAAAAATATTTCTTAGGAATTTATTTTGTGTTATTTATTTTTTTTTTTTACTAATGTCAACATTATCAGTAATTTATGTGCACCAGCTCTTAGACTTCCGCTTAATTTTGGATCACTTAAATATATATATACACACACATATATATATACATATTTATAAGGAAGTTGAGGTTCATTAATTAATAAACACAATATGCTTGTCTGTACATAAAATTAATTTTATTTATTGTTTTGTTTAACTATTCCTTTTCCGTACACTTTTTACAAAGGATAGATGTTTCACACGAACTTACCTGTAAATAAAGGAAAGATAATTAATGTTTTTTTAATTAACTTTTCAATTGCCTTGTATTCTGTTCTGTCTCTGAGTTAGCACTGCTGAGCCATGCCTTGATACAAGCGGCTACGTAGTGCCTCTACGTGTCAGACTCTCGTATACACTTTCTGTGCTTCTATTGGGCTACGTACTAACTCTACGTTTGTCGTTCTCTTATCTCTTAACAACTATATTCTTTGAGTGAACATACGGCGTACTAAATTCAAATGAAAGAAACTACATTTTCTTCACATATATAGCTGAATAGCTTTTTGATACAGTTAAAAATGGAATTCTAATATTTATTTGATAACAGAAGACAAGCGTTAGTCCGTTCCACCTTATTTTGGATTTTTATTTTTTTTTATTTTCAAAACACCTTTAAAACAAAAATCACAAGAATAAACATTTTCTAAGTTTCGTGATAATTTTTTGGTATCAACGTTTAGATTTGCTTTTATCCTTATATTAAGTAAAATATGTTTTGATTACTTTTTTTTTTAATTCCAAAGTTCTCCCACTTGCTACAAAATGTTTGTAGGTACTTATAGGGTCCAAGTTTTTTTTTTCCGAGCAAGCGAGGCACATGCGTGTAAGTGGATACGGCGACCAGTTTGGAGCGAAACAACCTTGAAAGGTAATATCTCTGGACAGAATTATTGGATTGAGCCTAAATTAGGTTTCTATGGCTAATTATGCCTTAAAAATCGATTGTTACCATCAAAATTCAATTTGATGTGTAAACGGAAAAAATAATTTTTTTATTTTTTGAATTACAAGATAGAGTGAGGTTATCCGTAGTTTTAATGAAAGTCCTGAACACGACTATCGATATTCAACAGTTTTTATTATGAGTAGTTTTTTAGAAATAAAGTAATGAGCATTTAAATACCTATTCAATATCTCAGCGTTTAGTTAAGTTCACGGTATACACTACCGTGAAGATGTCTGACTCGTTCGTTATCGCTATTACTGAAAAAATTCTATTGCCGTATTCAGCGCCATGAGTGGTGCGATAAACGTATTGTGCACATTCAGCGCATGTACTAAAAAAAACAGGGACATTCATAAGGACTTTAGGAGCCGGTAGGAATTTATAGATTAAAAAAATACGAATTTAATGCCGTTCGTAGAATCTTTTCAAGTCAATTCGTTTTAAAACTGGACGAGATCGAAAATGGACTATTTTGTCCCATAAAGAACACTTGATCTGATTGTTGTGGCGACAAGGCGGCAACTGCTACATAGGTATAGGCTTAGTGGTGGCGCGACCTAAGTGTTTTAAATCTTTTCACTGTCTGCATGTCTGCTGCGCGTNGATAAAATTAATGTAACCCATTTAACGGTAACATTTAACAACAAATAACATTTATATTTGGATCCAAAAAAATCGACATCTTTCAAAATAATATTAATAATAATAAACAAAAAATTATTCATATAATAAATTTTTTTTACAATATTCGGCTGTACGAGTAGTTTCCAAATACAAACTAGTTAAATTTAAACTATTGACTATACCATTAAATTTTGTACTAATAATTCGTTATTTTACTAATCATGTTTTTGTTGTAAGAATATTAATATCTATTAAAAAAATGGCTTACCAGGAACGATGACACTAACAAAAAAAAGATCTGTTCATTCTGCGGCTCCAACGTCGATCTCCTTTATTGTGGGAAGATACATTTTTTTACCTTATCGGCCATTAATGCTTTTACAAATACTTTTCCTCTCTGTTATATTATTTTTAGTCCAAGAAAACTTTAGTGATCAAGCTTTACAATAAAAAATTATCATAAATTCATGACTTAGTCGAATTTTTATTTTTGACTAGACGATCAAAAATTGCACTTATAAATCTAAATCTCACCAATCTCTATACATTGCTTTTAATGCAAAAATAACTCACCTATCTAGAAATACGGAGATCTTGATCAGCGCCAGGGTAGCTTTCTCATGAGCCTTTTGATTTTTAGATTATGATATACTATTTTATTTATTAAAGCTCAGCTTATTGAAAAATGTACTTATTTTTTGTTAAGGTTGCTTATGCGATTCGTGTCGGATATGCAGTAGTTAGAGGGCAAAGGCCCTCATCAAATAAACGTCTTTCGACGACTAATTTCTTAATAAACATGCTTGCTGTTACGGAAACTATATTAAATATTAACAAATGGCCAGAGAAGAACTAGAAAATGGTAATTGTAAGAATAGATAGATGTTTTCTAAGCATTGTATACCAAGTGCATGGTGTTGCAACGTGGACCTGCAGATGCAGTTATAGCAGTAACGGGAAAGATTATTATTTTTTACTTTTGATTTTCTCTTACTTTAATTACTCATTCTTGGGTTTTTAGGAGTCTAATAATCTCTTTACAAGAAAAACACATATGTATCATCCATAATCTTCAAAGTATATCAATTACTTTTAAAGTGACAGTAGACTTTTTTACGATTTTCGTAAGACTGCGACTTGAAAGTGGCAAGTTTAAAGCAGTGTTGTTATTGATAATATTATAAATAATTATATCATTCCTTTGACATATTTTCTCTGCATGATATTTAAATTTTGGAGATTCTTATCTTGATAATAAATAACGTCTGAGCCACCCTAATATTAATTCATACGACTACTACACATTTTTTACATTTATATTGACTTAATAATTTTTGCTTTATTGTTTTGAGCGTATTATATAGGTGTTAGAAAATTTCACTATACGATTATTTCTACTCAGTTCACTCAGTCTATTCAACTACACGAGTACATAAAAAATTTTAAGACGAATTCTATAAGACAAACTATAGTATAAATTTATTTGTTCATTACATACCTGCAGAATTCGGAGTCATAACTTTTTTACACATATATATTAGACACATGATCTTAATTTTAATTTTCATAGTAATTTTATAATTACAGCTTACAGTTGGAATAAACATTCTCTTGAACAAGAAAAAACTACTGTTGATATTGCTGTTTCATTACCTGTGCTAAGTCCACCTTTAAGTGCTCCACCAGTACCTTGTAACTCTAAGACTTGTAATGATAAAGATATACCAATACTTCAACAAGATGAAGATGACGATGATGTTTTCGAATCTGAAACATCTACCTTCCGTTGCATTGAGAATAATATAAGTAAGAGACGAAGTCAATCATTAAGTGCTCTACAGTCCAAAGAACCTAAAAGCCCATCAAAGGTACGTGTGCATAAAACTACAAACTATGACCTTAAATGCATTTTTAAGGTCTTTAAAAATCGTGCAAGACTTTTTCTCCTCTGTCTCTCACTTTCTCTGTCTTTTAAGAAAAGTTTTCGGACTATTTGCTTCAACGCTGACTTGTACAAATTTTTTTTGTATCCAGGCTATCCGTAATTGGTCAAACATCCCACCTACTATTCGCTTCTTACTGACTTTAAATGCTTTAAAATAGCTCTTTGTGTTTGCCTATTCAGTAGCCCACAGAATCATACATTTTTTAAATGACGTTGACCCTACTATATTCACCATACGTTGCATTAATTCTTATTTTAAGCATGTAAAAATATTTTTGGTTATCATGTGCTATTCTATGTCGCATAGTTGTTATTTTATTATTAATTATATCGCTTTTTCTATTGTATCTATCTAAATTAAATATTTTATCCACGGAGAAATTAGTGTTGAATTTATTTTTACTTATTGTTATTATGTTATAAACATAAATCTTATGAGTCAAATTAAATCGTTCTTTCTCACTCTTTGTGTTATAAAAATTAATGAAGTTAAAGTTTAATTTGAATGTCTCTATTCCACCCTATTTTATTCACAAGTCTCAAATTTTTGGATCTCTTACTCATAAAAATTATGCACACTGTCACAATTAGGGTGATCAGGATCTTGATTCTAAAAGTAAAGATGTCTCAAATTAGATTTTATAACCTTTGTGATGTTTCACATCATCTTTACGTATAATAATTACTATTTTAATGTAAAAATAAAAAAATTGAATTATGAGAATCCAACACCTTATTAGAAGCAAGCTGAATACTGTATTTACTTGCCTACAGCCAGACACTGTAACATTAAATTATTATTAATCTGAGTAGACATAAAGCTTTCGAGGCAGAATTTACAACTATTAGTAGTTTGGAATGAAGATACGTCAATTTTTAATTATACGTCACTGTTAACTTATTATTGTACATAAGTCTGATTAGAGAAAATTAAACGATGCTTATTCGAACGAAACTTTATTTTAATTATTATTTTTGTTCCTGAACTGTAAAAAATAGGAATATGTTAATAGGTTCGACGAGTGTAAGGAAAAGGTAATGTATTATGTGTGTTTGCTGGATTAGGAGTACAATTGAATCAATTAATCAAGTATGCATATAATTTTTATAAGTAGCGAAAATACAATCAATTTAGAAAGTATTTTTTATCAGATAATGATATTGTATTACGTGTACATGCATAAATGTATTAGTTAAAGAATTGAAGAAACACCGGAGAAAGAAAGAGATTGTCATATAGTTATAGAAGACAATGTATGCACACTATGTAAAGATTTTAAATCTACAAATCCTCCGTAAACTTTTTGTTTTTGTATAAGTAAGTTGTTATAAAAAAAGAAGAATAACATTGTAATAAAAAAGTGGAAGATGCGATTCATTGGTAATAAAAAAGTATGTGAATCTGAAAATAAAAAAACTTTAAAGTATTGAAAAAATTTACATAAGATGTACAGTTTTGCACTACGTATAATAGTTATTTTAAGTAAATACACTGTTTTTTAGAAAAGTTTATTATTCCCTTCTTTCAGAATTAAAATTTACTTGTCATCTGGTAATCTTTTGACGTACTTGTTTTCTTATTGTGCCAAACAAATTATACAGGACGTTTATCACACATAGCGTTTTCTGTAAGATCTTCCTAAAACTTCAACAGAATATTTGTAACGATATTAGAAACTCCCTCGTAAAGTTTGAAAAAATTGTTATAAATTTAACGCGTTACATTATAAAGGAGGCACATATAAATATAATTTTCCAGAAAAGGCTTATAGAGCTTGTCCAATTGTTTTTAGGTGTCGCAATACCAAAAAACACATTTTATATCAGACTTTTAGAGAAATTGACAAGTTATTTTTTTACTTCAATAAATTAACAGGTTGAGGTACATGTATGTGTGTATTCTCGTCCATGCAAAATAGTTGCCAGTATTGCCCAATGCTTACTTCCCCCTCATCGCTCTCTAGTTTTCCCCCATCTACTATGATAAACGTCCTTAAGTACTATATCTGCTGTTGACAGTCTGACTAATGATGAAACGAAATAAGTTGGTGTAGTTATGAAATATATCTTAAACATTACATAACAACAACTGAAACCCTTTATTATGGACGAAGAGCTTAATAATTTGGCAGTCTCTCCCTACATACTAAAATTCAGCAGATAATACGTTGGTGGTTGAAGAAAAATTTTTTTTTCCACGCCCCAATTCAAAAATGTCTAAATTTGTCTTAATATGATCTTATTTGTACATAACTCTCTACAGAAAACTCCAATTTTTCCTTTTTTTTGAAGTGAAACTTCTTATGTTGGGCCGTCAACAGCTGCGTGAGGGGAAATACGTTATGAAAAAACGTAGCCACCCACCCTACAGCCCAAGCCCTCTCCTTAATTTCCTCTTTTACACACTTCCTTCCGCTTCGTCTCTCTCTTTTGCAGCGCGCGCCACTCTAGCTACTGCCTACCGTTCCATCTCTTTTTCTCTCGCATATACGCCCGCGCCGCTTGCTCCCTTCCCCTCTGGCTTTTACTATACCTATATATGTATACACATATTATAGGTATGTTATATATATGTTTCTACGCTACGACTAAACACTAAACCGATGCGCTTGCTCAAGCTGAGGTATAGGTATGGAGAAAAGAAAAAAGAGATAAGAAAAAAAAAAACAACAGCTGTACCTATTCTTAAGACAAAGTATACATATGTATTTTGCATACATATACATGTGTTACACGTCCCGGTCATTACAAGCATGTTCATATAAAATATAAAAAATTATTGTTTTTTACTTGCATAAAAGTATTACTTTTGATTGAATATAAAAGTTAGGTAGGCACTTTATCGAAAAGAGAGACTATAATTGTCGCAAACTCAACAATAGTTATAATATAGATAATCTTCACGTAAACAGTGAAATTAAGCGTCTATGTCTGTTATCATAATGTCTTGTAAGTTCAGAGCTTATTTATAACTTATTAACACAATGTATAAGTCGAGCTTGCTTGTATATTGATGAAGTTGAAATTTTAATGTGATTTGAGCACTGACAGGTCTTACCATTAGGCCCCGCAGCGTCAAAGCTTTTCTTACTACTAACTTTTATTTTCTACGGAATTAATTCCATATTTTAAGATTAACTAAAAATATTCGTTCTGCTCGAGAACGAATTTAAATATTGGGCGTTGGGAGCGAGAGGCAGCGGGAAAAGGTAAATTACGACTTGTCCCCAAAAACTATATAATATGGGAAGATATATGTTTCCATGTGATATAATGATTTTAGAGGGTCATGCGACCCCTCTCCACACTGCTAGTCAAATTTTTGTACAGAAAACTCTAATGTTGTAAATTAATTAACATTTTATAAAAAAAAATAACATGATAATTTTATCATATTTTATGGTAAGAAATTCAACCAATTTAGTGGTAACTGGAAAAGTAAATGCAGAAAACAAAATTATACCTGGAAATTTACCGTTCAATCTTTGTTCAAGTATCCGTTAAAATCAGTTTTCAAGTGTACATCTCCTAATTTATATTTACTTTTAAAAATATCTCTACTGTATTGAATTTTCTAGGTTATAACATGAAAAATCTATATGAATACAAAATTTTAGCAAATTGTTCCTTCACCTTGAGATTTTGCTATAAGGGTTTGGTTTATTTTTTATGTGCTATTCTATGTCGCATAGTTGTTATTTTATTATTAATTATATCGCTTTTTCTATTGTATCTATCTAAATTAAATATTTTATCCACGGAGAAATTAGTGTTGAATTTATTTTTACTTATTGTTATTATGTTATAAACATAAATCTTATNATTTTTTTATAAAAATAAAAAGTCACCTTACTTTTTGATCACACCTCGTATAATGAAATTCGTGGTCATATTAGGGACATTCACCTTAAAGCAATCCAGCAAAATTATGATAATACATGATTATTTGTTATTCTTGACATTCTTTCTGATAAGTATAGAATTATGTTGTGCACTTTTATTTTTACTATACGACGTTACAACAAACACATAATCGGAGTAAAAGATGTATTGTTTTATTAAAATATTATAATAAACGTTCATAAAATATTGACAAGTGAAAGAGGATTAAGAACTTAGTATTATCAAGCACGACTGTTTATTCAAATAATTATTTCTAGGCACTATGGCTGTCCGTTCTACATGTTGTTTTGGCACCTACATGGTATATTAATGTTTGAAAACATTTGTTTACATAAATTTAATTCGTCATTCGGCTTATGCTTAACTTTTTTTAAATCATAGTACGGTTATGAAAAAAATGAGCCTACAAACATTATTTGGTAGTAAATTTTTAACAACACATCATTTAAAATACAGACAACGAAACATTTCTATCTTGATGAAAGAGCAACAGAAACAAAAAAAATAATCAAAACAGTTTTTCTAAAGAAAAACAAAATATTTAGACTCACAAAAAAGTAAAGATTTATCGATGAAAAAAAATTGCCTCTTACTTCCTTCTAAAACGCCTTCTTATATATAATAATGTATGTACTAAGATACAAATTCTTTAGTCATAAACTTTTATACAACATTTAGTTCACTGACGCCTTTTTTGAAGTTTTACTTCTACTGGTAGTCTCGGAATATGTAACTTGGGTTTTTTTACAATGTTACAAAGACGAATAATGTAAACAAAAAGCTACGTTGGCTCAGTGGTCAACGTGTTTAATACTGACACAACACCGTTCAAACCAATCAAAAAAGGGCCAAATGGCAACTTCTAGCTTTCATAACATCAAATCCAGAACGAAGACCCCGCTGAAAATTAAGCACATAATTTATTACTAGATAAACAACGAATAATAGTTTTGAAAATTCGAGAAAAATCGAACGAGCAGGTAAGTTTTCAGCGGTTTTCCACCATACAAGTATATAGAA